TGTAGGAGATCTCAATGCACATTTTCAACCTTGGGCGAAAAGTACTGTTCCTTCAACAAAAGAAGGAATCTTGTTAGACGAATTTCTTGAATCTATGAACTTCTCTCAACTTGTTTCTGGGGTCACTTGCGTTGCATCTGAGACTTGTCTAGATTTAGTTATAACTATGAATTCATTGTTCGTAAAAAATGTATTAATTGAATGTAAGTTAAAAGTTATTAATTGAACCACTTTTAAGTAACAACGATCATAGTTTTGTGGAATTTGACCTAAATTTGAATAGGAAAGCATGTTGGAAGGAAACCGAGATTGCCACTGTGATCAGCATAGTTGATTACCCCTATATTGAATTGATTTTTGTTCAAAAAACATAAAAGTTTGCATGTATGGGTCCGGGGCATGCCTGTAGGTCCCGAACGGTAATAGTTATAGACCTACGGGTGGTCTTAAATGAAAAAGGACATGTCCCTCTATCAAATGAATGAAAAACCCTCGCCCTTCTATCCGAACTTTTGGAGAAAAACCGACTTAAAAAGTTGAATGGACAGATGGCGCCATCGGATAGACAAAGTAGACCGAATGTTATACCGTTTGATAAAGTTATCTTTTCTCTTTCTAACAATGCAAACCGCACCTCTGTACGTGCTTTCATTCAGAGAGTTATTCAAGTTACAACCAACTCTATTGTCCTATGAAACGGAGAGTAGACACTTTTTTTGCATTCGTTCATATAATTTTTGCAGTCGTTCGTATGGGACTCCCTGTTTAATTTTTATACTGTCATGCGGAGAGTTCCTCATCCTTTTAAATTGTAAAGGTGAGATGGCGAATGCTGTAGTGGTGTTTCTGAGTATAGATCTCTTTTTATATGCGCGTACCTATCTGCCTTTTTTACATATTCATCTATTTTTTAATTTTTATTCTTTCATCGTTACGTTTATTATATCTTTCGCTGGTCATTTTTTAATGAGATATTCTGTTAATGAGGGTGCGATGCGGTACGCATAGGTTAGTGTGATGTATTGTAGAGGTTCGTCTTTAAAATAAGCGCGGTATAATTCGTGAAAGCATTTATTGTTCTGGATGTGTTTTGGATGTTTACTGTCGTATGGAAGATAGTCGATGTATTTATCTGTTTCTCTTATGACAATGAGCGGAGATCAAGGGAAGAGGGGAACAAGAGTCGATGTATTTATCTATTTTTCTTATGACAATGAGCGGAGATCAAGGGAGCAAGGGAATGAACAAGTAACCGAATGCACAGAATATAATTGGCTGCCTACAAAAACGTGCTACAGTGGAAAGAATAACAAATGGGAAATTGCACTTTGGTGTTTTCCTTGTTCGCGGTCCAATTTTTACGCCTAGAGCAAGGTAGTCATAACTTTGTTGTTAAATGACAAGTAAAATCGCTGAACTTTTATCTCAATAATGTTATAAAGACTGCATCACCATCACGCAATTCAAAGTCACACGATAGTCTGGCGCACACATAAACAATCTCCCAGTGATGGAAATGTTATCGGGTGACTCACTCTCACAACACCCGACCCCCACCCCACCTTAATCATTCATACATTCCTGTTTGACATATGCCGAACGCGTCATATTGTATCAGACAGGTCTGCGACATTTCGCAAACATGAATCAATGATAAATACTTCATAATTTTTTGAACAGTTTTGACCCAACGTTTAACAAAATATTTATGACCCCTTTGGACTAGAAAAACAATACAAAACGAATTCGACTTGTTGACTTGTTTTCCTGATCTAGGCAGAATTTTTAGAACTAACTTCAACAACTAGAAAATACAATGTGTACATAAACTCTTGTTCGCTTGTTCCCTTGATCTCCGCTCATTGTCATAAGAGAAATAGATAAATACATCCACCTTTGTTCGCTTGTTCCCCTGATCTCCACTCATTATAATACGAGAAGTCCAATGCATGCATGAACTCTTGTTCGCTTGTTCTCTTTTTTTTTAATCAATTTAAAAAGAGAAAGACACAATGCGTCGATAAATTTGATTATATTCGTTTTCAAGTTTTACGTATTCTGCTTCCAATACATAAAACAGAAAAACGAATACAGAATGTATTTGTATCCTGCAACCTATGCATTTCTAATGCTGGTACTCTATATTCTAATCTTTTTTGTGCAACTCCTAATTTATCATAACTTGATCCAACATTATTCAATGAGCTTGCAACATCTGGATGACTACCTTCATATAATGTTTTTGATATTTTCAAATTATTTTCATAATATTTTATTAAGTTTTCGAAACTACATAATTTATTTTCATCATATAGTGCTATTTTTAAATGTAAATGAGCTAAATTTTCATTGTCTTTGATTTCTTGTACTAAATTCAAATTAATCAGTTTATGTGCATTTTTATAATATATTTCTGATTTATTCCAATCGTCGTACGGCAAATCATCAATTTCTGGCATTTTAAGATCGACTACTTTAGCTAGCTTTTCTAATATCTTCTTGTTTTGTATGCACTTTTCAGTATTCGTTTCTTTATCTATATATTTTTCAATTATATCTTTTATTATCGAATGTATTTTCATTCCTATTACAGGTTCTTTCTCATTTTCTAACTGAATCTGATTTACTAATGATAGATCTTCTAGTGCTTCTTTTTCGTTATCGATATCAATTTCATTATTACTTTTTTCTTTTGATAATATTTCTTTGAGTATATCATGCTTATAAAATTCATCTAAATAAACGCAATGCTGCAGTATGCATTGAGTGATTCATTTATTAGCTCTTTAAGCAAATAATCTTGTGCTTCTATCTCTCCATGTTCTTTTATTTTTTCTTTATAATTTTCTGTCGTCCATGAACTTTTCTTTTGTAGTAAAGCCATCACTTTTGATAATTTAGATGCATACACTTCTTTTTCATTGGTTTTTATCAGATCAATTAGTTTTTCTGCTTGAAATTGACTAAACTTTCTCTTTTTTATCCAACGTTTTTATATATTCAATGCATTCACTTTTAATAAATGGTTTCATTTCTAAATTTGATTCGTTGCCAAACTTAAAATTATCTTTCAAATTATTATTTTTTATTGTTATGATTGTTTAAACATTGTTTGGTAAATGTATTATTAATTCATTAATATCAGCAGCTTCTCTTGCATTATCAAATATAAATAGAATATTTAATCCTAATACGTCAAGTCTATCATTTACCAAATTTATAATAATTTGTCTTTCATTTATTTCATTTCCTACTCTAAGCGCTTTTGTTGCCATATTTTTGTAATCATTTCAAACTAAATTTTTGATTCAGCATTAAACCAACGAACTATTTTATTACTTTCATCTTTTTGTTCCTGCCCATATTTTGATGCGAGTGTTGTCTTACACGAACCAGCATAACCGCTAATAATAACATATTTATTTGATTTTGAAAATATTTCTTCTATTTCCTTGAATAATACTTCTTTTTGTATCAAATTTTTTATGCTTTCCTTCGGTATATTGCTTGATTAATACCTTATATTCTCTCAAATCCGAAATATCTTTTTTTAAATTATCAAATTTAACTTCTAATTTGCCATAATTATTCTCTATATTTTCGTTCATTTCTG